GGGCTGGGCGGCGGCGAGGGCGCCCCGTTGGAGGGTGGCGGCGGCAGGGGAGGCGGCGGCGGGGGCGGGGACGGCGCGGGTGGCGGCGAAGGCCCCACAACGCCCGGTTGCGCTTCCACTGGCGCTTGGGCGGGCGGCGGCGGTGGCGGGGGTTGCGCCGGCGGCGGGGCGGGTGCCAGCCGCAGCGCTATGGGCGCCAAGACCTCCACGATGGCCGTATCTGTCCCACTGAGGGGCGTGGTAGCGTTGTCGGTGACCGTCAGCCGAACCTCCCACTTGCCCACCGGCACCTGCAGCCTGGCCGTCGGCCCCTGCGCCTGGAGCCGCGCGGAGGTGGGGGGGTCGACCTGCCGCAGCTCCCACTCGTAGCGAACCAGGGTGGCACCCCACACTGCGGTAGAGCGTGTCCCTGGGCGCAGAGAGAAAGCCGCGGGACGCGAGGAGGGGTGGGTGTGGCCCGAGGCAGGGGGATCCTGGCATGCCGCATGCCCTCAAGGGAGCTGAGCATGGGCGTGCATCTGCACCAGGCGGACGCATGTGAAGCGCGTTGAAGCGCATCATTGTGGGCGCCACAACAGTCCAGCAAACGCGCGAATGACCATGCAACCCCCTCCCTGCCTCTCCGCCAAGCCTGCGGCGCACCGTCCAGGATCACGAGGGCACTGGCACCATCAATGCCCACGACACGCTTTTCCAGCCGTATCGATGCCGTGTGCGACATCACCGTGCTGAAGTCAGCGCCTACTGGTGCGCTGGTGTTGGGGGCCGTCGCCGCGCCGTCGTCCAGCAGCGCTCGTGACCGGCTGACGGCCCTGCCCGCGTCAAATCGACGTGCAGCCCCGCTGCTGCCACGCCCATCTGCCCGCGCAGGCTGGCGGCGCACTGTGGGCTTGCCAGCATATAGGGGCGCCTCCCCGCTGCGCGAGTGTGTGCGTGTGTGGTGGGGCAACGATGTGATGGCATGGCAACAGGGCAGCGAGCAGTTCGCTGTGCACGCACCAAAAGGAATCGCATGAGACCGCGGCGCCGGCCCTAGCAAGGGGTTGCACAAGTGTCACTAGGTGGATGCAAAACGCCGAATAGGCCAACTCAAGAGGGCCTTGTCTTTTCGTGGGTGTCATTCGTTGCTTGGTGACAGCCACGGTCGGCCAACACTAGGATGCACTCACACGGCCGTTTGCGCGATAGCCAGAAAAACACATAGGAATGCCAGAGCCATACGTCCACACCAGGGCACCGCTGCTGCACCCCTACGCGTTCTAGCCACTGCAGTGTTTAGGATCGGTCCCCGCCATAACGGGACAATACATCGTCCTCCACGCATGCTAGGCCTCATCCATGGAAAATCACCGCACATGCGCCCACGCCACCCGCTACAGCGCCCGCCGGTGGCTGGCGCACTGGAAGCTAGCTGGAGCCATCAGTCATGGAGTACCCCGACAGCAGGCACGTCAGAGTCCAGTCGTCGGCATTCGCTGTGTTTGCGTGCGAATTGCTGCAGCCCGCATACTCCTTGCACAATCAGCACTGCGACCCCCCAAATTGTTGGGCACAGGTGATTCCATCAGCGTGGTGCAGGTAGGGCGGAGCGCGGCTCAGTCAGTCAGCCCCCTGTTACTGCAAGAAGGCGCACACTTGCATGATCAGGGTGACTTTTTTGGGGGACATCCTCATGGACAACAAGTCAATCCCTCAAACAGGCACATCAATGCATGATGTGCAACAGCTCGTGTCGGCAGCCAAGCCTTCTCATATCAAATGCAATTAGCGTGCAGCCATGCGCCCTAGGTGGGCCCATTCGGCTCCGCGAACCCCCAAACCAGCCTACTTCAGGGCCGTTGCCAGTAGCTTGGTTTTAGTCTCCAGCCAGTATCATGGAGGTGCAGATCAATCTGCCCACAATCACACGCAATCATGTAGCACGCACACTACTTGTCTCGAAATGGGTGCCAAGATCTGTGACAGCAGCATACATGGGCCCCAGGTTGACCAATGCTCACAAGTGGGGTTCAATCATAAGGACCTAGCAGCTGGCACGTGACGAAAATGGTTGCTGATTGCAGCAATTGCGGGCATGAGCCGCCAGCGCCGTAAGCGCTCTCGTTTCCGGGACCGCTGTTGCACCGGCAGCGAAGTAACAGCACGGGGAGCCAGTTGGCCTCAGGACAAGGCACTCAACACTGCAGTTCTTTCCACAGCTGAGCGCGTCACTAGGGAATCTGCTGGAAAGCCGCATATACAGTAGGGACTCGTATATCGGCAAACGTCATGTCCCTGCTGCGGTGGATCCACTGTCTCAGATTGCGCTGTACGTTGATGGATTAGCACTGTGCCTTTGCCAATTGCCTTGTACAGCATCCAAGGCATCCACGCGTTGCACCTGAAGTTGCCCGCCTATTTGATTGCTGGCTAGGTGGCCGCAGCGCAAAAAGGGTTTGGCGCTACTAAGGCCAAGTGCGCCGCGGGTGCTGGGTCACCACTGTTCGGACGGCAGAGGTATGGGGACCTTCATTCGTGAGGCAAAGTTACAGGAGGGTACAAAGCACAGACAGCAACACGTGTCAGGCCTTGCAGAGGATGTCGTCTTCCCGCAGCACGATGAACTTCTCGCCGGAAGGGGTCTCCATGTTGTCTCCTGCAGTGGACGGAGGGGGTGTCAAGCCGGGGGGCTGCCCTTGCATGCCTGCAGTTGCTCAATTGTGTCGAAAAAGCTTGGGCCCATGCAACAGCAGGCTGTGCCTCCCACCAATTCCCCAAAAGACCCCGGCTCGGGGGCCGAGCCGGCCTTCTTTTTGGGCTCCCCCTCCCCCCGCGCCATCCCCGCAAGGCACCCACCAGCATACTTGAAGTACAGGATGCGGTCGCCCTCCTGCACCACGGGCTTGGTGCGGCCGCCCTCCGCGTCCTTGTCGTACTTGCCAGGACCCGCACGCACCACGGTACCGCTGCAAGGAAGGGGCAGACAAGGTGTGTGTGTGTGTGTCTGTGTGTGTGTGTGTGTCTGTGTGTGTGTGTGTGTGTGTCTCCGTGTGTCTGTGTTTTGTGTGTGCGCGCGCACGTACGTGCGAGGCAGCACACAAGCGTGCTGGTTAGGCTTGGAGGGAATGCTATGGTAAACACGTGCCTGTGTGCACTCTACACGCCTGCATCCCTCTGCAATAAGCCGCCACCATGGAAACGCCAATCGCCCTGCTGCTCTGCCCCTCCCCGTTCTGTCTCCCCCATCCCGCGCCCAACCCCGCCACTCCCCCTCACCTCAGGGGCCGCTCCTTGGCGCTGTCGGGCAGCACCACGCCGCCCAGTGTGACGTCAGCAGCGTCCTCCACCCGCACAAGCACACGGTCCCCCACCGGCTGCAGCTCCGGAATGTCCTCCGCCTGGGCGTTGGTCCTGGGGGAGTGGCCCGGTTGCGCGGCAAGAGGTCGTGTGAGAGTCAGGGGTAGAGCAGCAAGCAAGACGCTGCAGCTTGCATCAGGGGCGCAACGGGGTCAAGGGGACAAAGGCATGTTGCAATATGAGGCAGCACGAGGCGCTCTCGTTCGTTGTGCCATTGAAGAAAGCGAGTGAGGGCGCGCGTTGCTCAGCCCGCTCTTGCTCACCGCGGCATGACCCCGATGACGTCATCCTCGCGTATGAGGATGTACTCGTCCTCCCCCAGCTTCAGGTCCTGGTACATGAAACCAAACTTGGAGTAGAGCACCTGTGGAAGGGGGGGGGGATGGTGAATTGCTTTGGGTGGGTGCGCGTGATTG